CTCATGTGCACCCCTGATGTCCATGTTGAAGTGCCTGGGTTTGAGTCCTGGCTCCTCTCACTATTTCAGGGTGCTCATGTGCACCCCTGATGTCCATGTTGAAGTGCCTGGGTTTGAGTCCCGGCTCCTCTCACTATTCCAGGGTGCTCATGTGCACCCCTGATGTCCATGTTGAAGTGCCTGGGTTTGAGTCCCGGCTCCTCTCACTATTCCAGGGTGCTCATGTGCACCCCTGATGTCCATGTTGAAGTGCCTGGGTTTGAGTCCCGGCTCCTCTCACTATTCCAGGGTGCTCATGTGCACCCCTGATGTCCATGTTGAAGTGCCTGGGTTTGAGTCCTGGCTCCTCTCACTATTCCAGGGTGCTCATGTGCACCCCTGATGTCCATGTTGAAGTGCCTGGGTTTGAGTCCTGGCTCCTCTCACTATTCCAGGGTGCTCATGTGCACCCCTGATGTCCATGTTGAAGTGCCTGGGTTTGAGTCCTGGCTCCTCTCACTATTCCAGGGTGCTCATGTGCACCCCTGATGTCCATGTTGAAGTGCCTGGGTTTGAGTCCTGGCTCCTCTCACTATTCCAGGGTGCTCATGTGCACCCCTGATGTCCATGTTGAAGTGCCTGGGTTTGAGTCCTGGCTCCTCTCACTATTCCAGGGTGCTCATGTGCACCCCTGATGTCCATGTTGAAGTGCCTGGGTTTGAGTCCTGGCTCCTCTCACTATTCCAGGGTGCTCATGTGCACCCCTGATGTCCATGTTGAAGTGCCTGGGTTTGAGTCCTGGCTCCTCTCACTATTCCAGGGTGCTCATGTGCACCCCTGATGTCCATGTTGAAGTGCCTGGGTTTGAGTCCCGGCTCCTCTCACTATTCCAGGGTGCTCATGTGCACCCCAAGAGGCAGAAGGTAACAACTCAAATAGTTGGGTCTCTGCTACCCATGTAGGTTGTCTTGTAGGCTCTTGGTTTCAGCCTGGCCCAGCCTGGCTGTTGCTGGTATCTGGGGAGTGAGCCAGAACATGGATGATCTTTCTCTGTCCTTCAAATAAAGTGAAAATAAATTAAAAAAAAAAACACTTTTTTTTTTTTAAAGTTTAATGGATAAAAGCAGGTATTGTGGCATAGCATTTAGGCTTCCCCTTGGGGCAAGCTGCATTCCACACTGGAATATCTGGTTCCAGTTCCAGCTGCTCCACTTGCAATCCAGTTTTCTGCCAATGCACATTCTGGGAGACAGGAGGTAACGGCTCAAGTCCTGCAGACTTGGATGGAGTTCTGGGATCCTAGTTTTGGTATGGCTTAGCACTCGGACTATTGACAGCATCTGGAAAACGAACCAGCGGATGGAAGAGCTCTCTTTTCTCTCTCTCTCTCTCTCTCTCCCTTTCAAATAAATACATGTATTAATAATAATTCAACAGATGGTCTGGGAAATAAAGACTTAGAATCTCTCAAAAAGCAGGACAAAGAAACCAGAAAAGAAGAAAGGAATTAGATGAGAGTTTGATTCCAAGACATACACTAGCTGATTAAAAAAAGGAAGTAAGGACCAGGTGGAAAGATATGATCAAATATACAGTGTGAGAAAATTCACTTCCAAAAATGAAGGGTATGCGTGTCCCTCTGAAAGGGCCAGAACATTCCTGCCAAATGGTGAAAAAAGACCTGCCTCAGAGCACCTCCCTGGGGCAGTTCAAAAACAGAAAATCCTACACTAGAGAGAGAGAGAGAGAGACAGAGAGACAGAGAGATTAAAAATTAATCTTAAAATTAAAGAATTGGGAAGCAAAATGGCATGGTGTTTTTCATAACACCAAATACTCAAACACACAGCTTTTAAAAAGGGGGGATGGCTTATCAACCTGGGATCCTATGTCCAGCAAAATGATGACTGGATATAGAAGTGCAGCGAAGGTATTCTCAGCCATATCATGCAAAGCATGTCGTTTCCATGTACCATTTGTGGGACAGAAACCAAAGGATGTGCTCTAAAGCAATTAGAGTGTGAACCACAGAGAGAGCGACAGGAAGTGAAGGCAACGTGACTTGTGGAAGGAGGGGAAAGCAATTGACAGATCAAGGGGGCTGCGTGGGTCTGGAGAACTGCCAGCCCTCATCAGGCAGGAGGGCAGAGAGCTCTAGGCGGAACAGCAGCTGACATACTGGGTGGAACAGCGTTTCCCCAAATTCATGTCAACCCTGCCCTCGGAAGGGGGTCTTGTCTGGAAACGGGATCTTTATACATTACATTGCATGAGCTACAATGTGATCACACAGAATGAGGATGCCCCGTACATCAACATGACGGCCAGCTTCATCAGCAGGTCATCTATCAGAGACACTCAGAGGAGACGAGAGGGTCAAGTCCATGTAAAGATGCTGGCAGAAACAGGAGGAAGGCATCCCTAGCCAAGGAATGCCAATGCCAGCCAGCAGCCACCAGTGGCTCTCTCTTTGATTCTGCCTTTAAAATAAAATACAAATACATTCAAAGCTGCAAAGCAAAGGCTTGTAGAAGGTTTGAAATAATACAAAGCCTGCTTATGTGTTCCTGGAAAAGAAACAAGATTCAAAATTCTACTTTCAGAAGTGGGGTGGTAGGATGGGGCAGTAAATTTGAGTTCCCATAACATGCTCAATCATGGGATTAGAGTAAAAGCAATTTTGCTTTGCAAAATTTTGCATGTGTACAGGTAGGCACCTGTCTCTGGGGAATCTTGTGCGAGCTGGGAAAGAATGTAGCTTCTGCATGAGAAAGGCAACACACAGACCTGGGGTGGGGGCGGCACTGGGTCTTCCCAGCCTCCTTCAGGTCCTGCAGAGATGCAGGCCAGGGGAGCAGGAGCCAGCTGCTGCCTTCTATGCTCAATCCCCAGCTCCCACAACACAAGTTCTGATCTATCTTAAGAGGACACTTCAGAAAGTGCATGCTAAATGGAATTAAAACCTAAGTTTGTCTGGATGCCAAAAATGAAAGTCCATGCATGTGGGATGTCTTTCATACATTTCCTGGGAAGCACACACTAGAAAAAAGCCATGCATGGATTTCAAACTTCCTTGCATCAAAATAAGCTTGCCTTAAAATTCCATTTTCCCATAGTTTCTAAAGGGACCTCATAAAAGATCAATACATATTTGAGGTGGAAAGGTTCTCACTATTTTAGTTAAACCTCTTATTGATCTGTGACAGACAAATGTCACCATGATATTTTGTCTTCTCCTAAGCTACACAGCCCTTGAGAGATGGAGCTGGCCATCATTATTACTATTGTTATGGTTATTTTTGTATTTTGCATTTATTGGGAGATAATCTCAATGCTTTTGTAATTCCTGAACAAAAGAAGTGTTCAAAAAAATTGAACAAATTATTATCTTGATACCATGGATGAGAAACTGTCCAAGCTCATAAAGCTAATTCCTGATAAATATGAAATTCAGAGCTCAATGAGTTGGCTCCAAATTGAATGCTTATTTAGTGGTCATGCATAAAGCAAGGACCTGGTCAGACCTGCTGGGACTGCCAGCCTAGGCAGACCTGGGCACAGTCCTAGGAAACCCTGCTGGCAGAGGGTCATAGGCTAATTAGGCTGTAAAAGTTCAGAAGCAAGAGAGCTCAGTGTGTTCTCCCAGCTCCAGCAGCTTCCCTGCTGGTCCCACGGCAGGCAGAGCCCATGTACACAAGGATTCAGACAAGCAGAAAAGGCAGTGGTAGGCATGCCTGGCAGGGATAATGCTTAATTAAAGGCACGAGGGAGAAATCAAATGAAGCTGATAGTCATTTCTGTAAGGCTGTGAGTCAGTCATAGGCTCAAATAAGCAATGGGTGGATGAATGGATGGATGGATGGATGGATGGATGGATGGATGGATGGATGGATGGATGGATGGTTGGATGAATAAAAGGATAGCTGGATGGGTGGGTGAGTGGATGGGTAGATGGGTGGAAAGAAGGATGGATATGTAGATGGATGAGTGGACAGATGATGGATAGAGGGATAGGTAAGTGACTGATTGAACAGATGGATGATTGGATAGAAGGACAGATGGTTGGATTGATAGAAGGTTGAGTGGATGAGTGGATGGGTGTTTGTAAATGGCAAAATGAGAGCTGAGGGCTTTGGATTAAATCCTGGTCTTGTCTACAGTGTGAACTGAGTAGTGATGTCACATCTCTGAGCCGAGGTCTCTGAGGAGCCTGTGGAGGTGATTGTGATGATAAAACAAGAGCTGTAAGGTGTTACACCTCTTCTCTGGCACAAAGCAAGTGCTTTGGAAATGGGAGCTGTTGTCATCTTCACCGTGCAGAAAAGAAATAAGGGAGAAAGATCACAGGATTGTACTTGGTTATCTTGTTACCATGCTCCTCCTTTCTAGAACTTAGATCCTAAATGTCCATGGGGAAGCTATGTGGCTAGGGTAGTATACTCTGTTCTTACAGGCCTCTGTGATTGGTTCAAGAATGTATGAGGTTTGCGTAATCTGAACACTAAGCCTCAGAACATTTGCTGAGAACACTGGGACGTGGTCTCTTTCCATTGCCAGAGCTAGTAGCAAGGAAGCTTGCATTCTAGAAGCTGCTGGGACTTAATTACATGGGAAGTACAAGCCCTGAAACTCAGTGATGTCACAAAAGGCCTAGGAAATTTCCTTAGTGTTGAAAGCCAGATTTCCTAATAACCAGTAGTCAAGAGCATCTGAACAGGTTGGAGAAAGGAAGCTAGAAAGAGGACACAAGAATGGGCTCTAGGAAGATGACCGAATGGTATTGGATGGTGTCACATTGTAAAAGCCTTTGGAAACTCTGAAATTAGGGACACATTTTAGCTATTCTTTCACACTTGACAGGTAGATAAACTGAACCCAGAGGGTTAGACAACAGGTATCCAAGATGATACCAGTCAGTTAGGTGCAGAGCCAGAACTGGAAGCCAAACCTTCTGCCTTGCTCACAAGGTTCCTTTCCCAGCCCAACACCAAGAGCTCTCCTACCACTGTAGAAAAACGTACCCCATCCCAGGACCACAAATCCTTGGAGGCACTTTCTTTCTGAGAAGGAGACGACGAGGAGAGTGTGGAGATAGAGGCCTTCCACTAGCAGCCAGGCATAATTGGCCATGATGCAGTACTGGAAGAAGATCATGACGAGCTTACAGCCTACCTGGAGAGAGAAGGGAGATGCAGGTGAGCCCAGGCTCCATGGTTAGCAACAGAGGAAGCCATCGCATGCCAGAGGTGGCAGGAGTCAGGCCATATAGCAATCCTCAGGGTTCAAGGCCATCACTTTGGACCACACTATTCTCTAAGAGTGCAAAGCTACAGGTGCAGTGGCTCAGTCAAGATGACCAAGGAATCATGGCAGGAGTGAGGATGAAGTTCCAGGTCCGGAAGTGGTTGCCATGCCCCATGGGAGAGATGCTCTTTCAACTGTGCAACTGCTGGTCCCTACTCAAACACCTCACTCTTCTTACAAGAGATCAGAGGCTGAGAGAGAGAGAGGAGGGATTTCTGCAATCCCCTGGCAGGGAGGCCATCATGCTGGGCTTTAGCCAGGGATCCCTGGAGGAGGCAGCTCCATCAGTCTGACTCTTGCACCTGCGCCAAAGCTGGGTCTCCCTAGAGAGACCCAAAGCTGTCCTCAGGATGAACTGTCCCTGGGGAGAGGACAGTCTGGGATGGCCATGGGATGGCTGCAAGGGAGGAGGAGCACTTGGTGCTGCGGCCAACAGTGGGTCCTGCCCTGTGGCCTTTCCAGGGACTCTGAGCCCTGGTGCATCCTGCTGGTCATTGCTGGACATATCCACTGCTGCTCAGTGATGGGCTGGCACCAGAATTTAAGTTCACAATTTTTGATGCCAACTTCCTGTCTGATGTTCTGGGGTCATCCCAGAAAGCTCCTGAAGGAGTCTGGATCCTACTGGAGGGATTCACATACCCATACACATCCTATACATCCATACATATCACACACACATCACACATACATATACAGACAATACACATACACAAAACACACACATATGTACATACATACATACATACACACACACCATGAACAAAGAGGCAAGCAGACCAGCTGACCCAATCTCAATTTCCAGTATTTCTGCCATGTGGCCTCTGCTACAACAGACTATAATAATAATAACAATAATAATAATATACAATTTCACTTCCTTCCTCCTTTATGGTTAGATGGTTAGGTGTGCTCACCCTGCATAGCTCTAGCCAGTGAATTACGGCCAGATGTCCCTGGCGGGAGGCATTTGCAAAGCCTCCAAAATAGAGTGGGGAGGTAAGGTTTAACCTTTGATTCCCTTTACCTCTTGCTTGGAACCAAGGCATGAGACCCATGGGGATTGCAGTGGCTACATTGTAACCATGAAGTTTCAAGTTCAAAGTTAAAAACCTAGACTCAAGAGCAGAAAGAGGAAACAGGCTTGTCTTCACCCAGGGGCGTCTTTGTCACCTATAAACTGCTCAGGTGGGACTCAGCTCTGCCCCCTGTCCTGACCCTGTCAGTGTAAGTAACTGGAGGACATTGCTCTGTGACCTGCAGGAAGGGAGAGACTCCTAAGTGACACAGCAAGAATGACAAAAGGGGGACAACGGGGGTTCCAGTAAACAAAGTACTGTGGTCTCACCGTAAACATCCTGACACCTGCTCACCATTGCCTATCGACCCCAGCCCTCTTCATACTTGGACCACTGTCTCCAACCAGGCACTGGCAGGGGGAGGCATTGCCTTGCCCACTCCTAGACACTGGGAATTGAGCAGGCTTCCTGCAGAACTGTGCTCATGTGTACCCTTTTAAGCACACGTGTTGCACCTCCTGGCACAGCCTAACCCTCTGGCCCCCCACCCTGACAAGCATTAGCTGCAGCTTCAGCAGGGACTTGGAGAGGGTGGATAGGATAGCTGGGACACTCCTCTCTCTCTGAGGTCAAACAACCTGACCTGGCTTCACCCTCAGCCTCCCCCCACCCACTCGTGAAAGGGTGTTACCCTGTGGGCATCGCAGTACATGACATCATCGGAGGAGAAGAGCACAGCATCCTTGATGAAGTTAGACAGGGCACGCAGGATGAAGGACACGAACAGGTGCATGTGAATGTAGTTACGGGTGCAGTGCAGCCTCCTGCAGGGAGAGGAAGTAGGCCCATTGGGGTCAGAGCCTGGAGGGGCTGGGATTTGGACAGGTCCACCCCACCTCAGCATGCTGGGCAAAGAAGCCAAGGCCATGGATGTGGACACCCCCACCTTGCTGTTAACAAGTTCCAGTCTGCTCTGTCTTACGTGGTAATTAAATCAAGACACTGGGTTTATTGGGACAGTAGCTATTCTGTCCTCCCCTATCCCCACCTTCAGCTCCCAGAATTGGGGGTGGGGGGTGGCGGGGAGGAACCAGAATGGGAGGGATGAGATGCTCAGAAAACACAGGCCGTAGAGACAAAGCAGCCCCCACCTGCCACCCAGGAGCTCTGCAACCTGGAACACTTCTGCGGGAGACAGAAATGTGGATGGGAAACCTCACTGATGTAAAACTGTAACCAACCTAATCTTGTGAGAAAACTCGGAGAATTCAGGGCAGAAGCTCTGAAGCAGCTGGAAAACATGGGCTTAGGAACTCCCTTGTAGGGAGACAATTGATTAGGAGAGGACAATGGGGAACCTCGTAGGTGTGAAGCTGTAACCAGCTGTGAACCTGTGAGAAAGCTCCAGGAATTTAGGGCAAAGGTCCTGGGACAGGTGGAATGGGAGAGCATGGGCACAGGATTCCTAATCCTCAAGCTTTGACAGCGGATCAAAGACAGGTGCTTCTTCCCCTCTATGCTGTTTATCATTAGTAGCCTGCTAGGAGAACACATCGTCTATGAATGGACTCCCCTTGCACGTTAGCACGTAGACCATATCCTGCTGCAGATCCTCCTTCCTTATGCTTACATGATCTTCAGTGTTTTTAAAAAGTCTTTTGCTGTTAGTAAGCTTCAGCTATTGACTATCAGTCAGTAGTCCATATGTGTGATTACGGACCCCATGCACAAAGACCACCTGCTGCTGGACAGTGAAAACATTTCCACCTCCCCAAGCCCTTGCTTCCTCACCTACTTCTTCCAGCACCAGCCTTTCTAATGGATGACCTGTACCAGCTCTGGGTGGGAATAGCTCTGTCTCTTCACCCTTCTGATAGTCCTGGCCAATCATAGTTCTCCATCCCCAGCTGGCTACCCTCACCAGGCATCATGCTGCAAGTTCTCAGCGATGCTTAGCTGTGAATAAATGTAAGCTTTGCGTTGAGAGGTAACAAGCTATATGTTCAGACCTGCCCCTCTCTGTCCCCATGTTTGGGGAGGGTAGGGGACAGAGAGCCAACAGCAAGTTCTCACCGGAAAGCACAGAGGATAGCCAGGGCGATCAGGAGCATCACCAGGGAGGAGCTGTAGCCCACGGTGTACATGACCTTCAACTTCAGCAGGTAGGCGTGCTGGAGAAAGAGACACATGTCAACCCCACCTGCCCACCAGACGGTCAGGCTCTGTCCTCAGACTCCATGTCCCCGCTTCAGGCAACTTGGACCTCCCTCCCCACTGCCCAACCCTGACTGCTGTTCTGTTCCTCCCTCGAGGACACCAGTTCACAGACTCAGAACATGGTGGCAGTGTGGCTTTGGACAGCCTCATGGGGGCTCCTCCGATGCTACTTTTTTTTTAAATTTTTTTTTAAGATTTATTTTATTTTTTATTGGAAAAACGGATATACAGAGGAAGATCTTCTGTCCCATGATTCACTCCCCAAGTGAGCGCAACGGTCAATGCTATGAAGATCCGAAGCCAGGAGCCTCTTCCGGGTCTCCCACATGGGTGCAGGGTCCCAAAGCTTTGGGCCGTCCTCGACTGCTTTCCCAGGCCACAAGCGGGGAGCTGGATGGGAAGAGGAGCCGCCGGGATTAGAACCGGCACCCATATGGGATCCCGGGCGTGCAAGGCAAGGACCTTAACCACTGCGCCACCGCACCGGGCCCTCTGATGCTACTTTAAACCTCCCCCTCCTGAACACAGCCATGGCCTCTCTGAACTCCAGTATTTATTATTATTATTATTATTATTATTATTATTATTATTAATTGACAGCATTTACATAGTTGACCAGGGTAGGAAGGACTGAGGGTTAGGGGAAAGTGGGTAAGACCGCTGTTTCCAAAATTTCGGTTTTTTCCTCCTGTATTTGGGGGAGAGCAGGGAGACAAGCGGAGAAGCCGCACTCAGCCTTCCAACTGCCCCAGTACCTGGGGATGGGGAACCTGGTATCAACCCAGGGTCCCCAGTGTGGAGCATGCTCTGAGTGATCTGCTTAAGTGGTTTTGATGGCTGGACTCCAATCTTTTTTTTTTTTCTTTTAAGATATATTTATTTTTACTGGAAAGTCAGATAGACAGAGGAGAGAGAGAACGGTTGTTCCATCCATTGATTTATTCCCCAGTGGCCACAATGCCTCGAGCTGAGCAGATCTGAAGCCAGAAGCTTCTTCCAGGTCTCCCACACGAGTGCAGAGTCCCAGAGCTTTGGACAATCCTCTATTGCTTTCCCAGGCCATAGCAGGGAGCTGGATGGGAACCAGGACCACCGGGAAATGAACTGACGCCCAGATGGGATCCTGGTGTGTGCAAGCCGAGGACTTTAACCACTAGGCTACCATACCAGGCCCTGAACTCCAGTTTTGACTTGGTTACATTTAAGGACCAAGTGCTCACTGCCTTTTCAATACTTCTTGTTTATTTATTTATTTGAAAGGCAGGCAGACAGACAGAGGCCAGCATCGATCTTGCATCTGCTGGTTTATTCCCCAAATGCCTGTAACAGACCTTACTGAAACAAACTGAAGCCAGAAGCCAGGAACTCAACCCAGGTCTTCCACATGATTGGCAGGGACCCAAGTACTTGGGCCATCCCTTGCTGTCTAGCAAGGCTGGAATGAGACCTGGAGCCAAGACTTGAACCTGGCACTGTGATACAGGGATGTCCTCCGTAGCATTTTTAGCTGTTACGCCTACCCCTATTGTCTCACCTTTGTAAGCAATTAAGTTGTCCCAGGATAATGGGGAAAAGCTAAAACATGACATGTACAGTTCAAAGCCTTGCTTATGGATTTGGATTTGGTTCTTTAAAAGAACCCAGGACATGAGGATGATAACATTAGCACTAGACCTTTTATTTTTTAACCAGCCAAATCAACATGCTGGACAGTAATAACATGCCATTTAGGTAAGGATATAGTAGAAGTGAAAATTGTTTCAATCTTTGTGGTTGGTAATGAGGACACATGTGTCGCGAACCTGTGACACATGCATTTCTTTTGTCCTGACTTTTACTCCAGGAATTCATTCCAAGGTACGGCTCTCCGCAGTGCAACTCAACCGACTGTGAGTGCAGAGAACCGCGCCTGAGCTGAACACATACAGACTTCTTGTCTTTATTCCTTATTAATTATTTTTCTTAAAAATTTCTTTCTTTGAAAGATGGAGTTACGGAGTGAGAAGGAGAGAGAGAGATCCTTCATCCACTGCTTTCCTAAACAACACCCTGTAAGGAGATAGGGCGCCTGCTAGTTGACGTTAATTTTGGACTACGGATTTGTGAATACTCACTGCTTTTTTCAGCATTTTTTTCTTCTTAAGATTTGTTTTATTTTTATTAGAAAGGCAGAATCACAGAAGAAAAGAGAGAGAGAGAGAGAGAGAGAGAGAGATCTTTCATCCATGGTTTCGCTTCCCTAGTGACCTCAATGGCCAGAGCTGCGTCAGTCCAAAGCCAGGAGCCAGGAGCTTCTTCCAGGTCTCCCATGTGGGTGCATAGGCTCAATCACTTGAGCCTTCCTCTGCTGCTTTCCCAGGCCACTAGCAGGGATATGGAAGGGAAGTGAAGCAGTCTGGACATGAACCAACACCCTTTTGGGACACTTCTCGGGTCTGAGGGCGGGGGCGGGAAGCTTCCTTACTCTTAGAAAGAGTCCCAGGAAGCCAGGTGGTCCCTCTCGCCTTAGGAAGGAGCCCCCAGGACAGGAGCAAGGGACACGGACACAACCAGGTCCTGGGCAATGGTGCAGGGTGGCTTTGCCCAAAAATCCTGCTGCCTGTTCTCTGCTTTCCCAGTGCTGAGCCAACATTTGCTTTTTCAGCCATTTGGAAGCTTCAATTACATGCAGCCCAGAGCACCCTTTTTGAGCTGCTGTCCCGCCACTCTTGAGAGAATGTTCCTTCTTGAGTTTATGGATTGCCCAGACATGATGCACAATTGTCTCCTGCTGTTGTATGTGTCCATGAGAGGAGCAATGGCTACCTGCAGAAGGAACAGCCCATGACCCCACATACCCTCTTAGCAATCCTTGTGCAGCCCCTTTACTGATCACCTGGAGGCACTCAAAGGTGAGAGGCTCATGTCTTTTTTATAATTTATTTTTATTGGAAAGGCAGATCTACAGAAAGATCTTCCATCTGCTGGTTCACTCTCCAAATGGCCACAATGATGGGAGCCAAACTTCTTTTAGGTGTCCCACTCAGGTACAGGGTCCCAAGGCCTTGAACCATCCTCTGCTGCTTTCTCAGGCCACAAGCAGGCAGCTGGATGGGAAGTGGAGCAGCCAGGACACTAACCAGCGCGTGCAAGGTTCAACTTCATGTCTGTCCTCCACCTGGATGACCAGTCTTGGGAAGGAAGCAGGTGCATCCTTCACATTGCTCCCCGTCTGCCCTCCTCCACAGTGAGCCAGACAGAATGATCATGGAAAAAGGAGTCAGAGAAAGTCTTAAAGGAGGCGTGGCTCGCGGTCCAATCACATCCTTCCTCCCCTAATTTTGCCTCCCCTGCTCGCTCTATGGCTCTCTCACACAGCCCATCCTGTCTTCCAAGGACACGCAAGCTTGTCAACCCTCCCTTCTCTAGGGAGCTCGGCTACAGGTATGGGTGGAAGCTGGGGGATACGCCACTTAACAGTATATATTAGGAACATGAGCTTGACCTAACCCTTGCCGTGGGGCGAGTGTATGCAGCAACAGTTAAGAGTGCCAGCTCTCTTCCCAACCTTAGCTTCCTGCTAGTGCACGCCCCAAGAGGCAACAGCTGACGGCTCAAGGACTGGGATCCCTGCCACCCACAGGAAGACCTGGGTTGAGTTTGAGGTGTCTGGGTTCAGCCTGGCCCCGTCTTGGCTGTTGCAAACATTTGTGAGATCAACCAGTAGATGGGCACCCTCGGGGGGAAGAAAAAGTTCTGTCCACAGCTCACAGGTGGGAGAGCACCCACTCCCTGTGTCTCAGAGCCAGGATACACCATTAAGAATAGGGTGTTTATCGAGCACTTACTATGGCCAGACACCATCTCAGTATGTCCTGCTGTTAATCCATGTAGTTCTCTTGACAAGTCTAGGGGGCCCAAACGATTATTAGCCTCATTTCCCAGATGAAGAAACTGAGGCCAAGAATAACTAAGCCCTCCCCAGCCCCACCAAGGTCAAGGCTGGGACCCTCTCTGACGAGCTGACTCTGCATGTGGGGTCACCATGTGGATCACAGAGCTGGATCCAACACCGAGCATCTTGTGGACCAACATTGTCTTGTGAAGTTGATAAAGCTGATGGAAAGGACTTCAAGTGAGCTGGGGAGGGTGGGCAGAGCGCAGCCCCCCAGGGCCTTGTCCCCGCCCAGACCAGCTCCACCATATCCTCTCAGGACTCCCCACTCCCGGGTGCTTGGGGATAGAGTGGCAGGCTTACCCGTCTCTCATTGGAAGAGTCATTCACGCTTACCCCACAGGCCAGGTCCGGCCTGGGGAAGGTGTCCGACCAGCCATCCGGGGTGCAGTTTCGGAACAGGGAACCTGTGGGGCCAAGTTGTCCTACAGTGAGTGGTGGGGCCCGGCACTGGGGTGACATGCAGATGTGATGTCTCTACACTGTATGGAGGGACACTAAGCCACATCCAACCGCTTGCCCCTAGGTGCCAGGCAGATTTCCCAGCCTGGATATTGTAAAACCCACAGAGGGATCCTGAAATGGAACCTTCTAGGCAGAGCACCACATGAAAATGATGGAGATTTATTGGTCCTACAGCCACATGGATGAAACCACAGTTGGGAAACAGTAGCCTTGTTTTGGCCTTGGTCACTGCCCTGTGCCCTTCTGCATATGACTGTGTGAGGGGCAGATGCTTTCACAACCCCACCCCTTCCTCACTGGCCCAGGACTCACCCCTCCCTCACTGGCCCAGGACCCACCATCTCACACTAGCCCAGGACCACCCATCTCACAGCCCAGGACCACCCATCTCACACTGGCCCAGGACCACCCATCTCACACTGGCCCAGGACCACCCATCTCACACTGGCCCAGGACCCACCATCTCACACTGGCCCAGGACCACCCATCTCACACTGGCCCAGGACCACCCATCTCACACTGGCTCAGGACCACCCATCTCACACTGGCCCAGGACCACCCATCTCACACTGGCCCAGGACCCACCATCTCACACTGGCCTAGGACCCACCATCTCACACTGGCTCAGGACCACCCATCCCTCACTGGTCCAGGACCCAACCATCTCACACTGGCTAGCCGACTGAGTGGATTAAGGGTCCACAGAGGAGGGGAGGGCCTCCACAGCAGGTGCTTAAAGACCACCAGCACAGGCCTTTTCTGGCACTGGGAGGAGCTGCCCTCCTTGGGTTGTGTGACCCAGCCACATCCTGTCCTTGGTTCCTAGGGTGGCCGAGATTGAGTTCCCTAACTCCTGCTGGAATGGTTTGGCTGGGGTGGGAGGTAGCCCTGTCCGGGGCCTCCGGAACAGACCCAGCTGGGCCTTGGCCTGCTTCTGCCATGAATACCTTGGGCCACTGGTGGTCAGGGCTTAGGGTAGAACAAGCCCTGCTGAGCTATAGAAACACATAGGCTCTGCTGGCAGCAGCCAGGATACCGGGTGCCCTCCTGCTTGGCCCTCTCCCTGTGGGTCTGGGCAGGACCCTGTGTCCTCAGGGTCCTTGGAGGCTCTGGAAGGCTGCAGCAGGGATCTGGAGCCAGCCAGGCCAGAGCTGCAAACTCGGTGCCCCCTGTGGGTGACAGAGCTGCCTGAATCCCATCTCCTTGCTTCCTGGGAATAGCAAGCCCAGTGTATGGGTAAGCAGCTCATGGGGCTCATCCAGGCTGTGACCAGCCCTCTCACATCCTGGGGGTCCTACAGGACCACCACCTTCTCCTTTCCACATTCCCAGACAGAAGTAGCAGTAGGTGGGGCTTGGAGTCGGGGTAAGAAGCAGTTGTTTTCTGGAACGAAATCTAGGGAATTAGGCAGGCAGATGTGTCAGAGTGGCCCACGATTAGCTTGAAGGAACAGCAAAGCAAGTTAAGGGCACTCAGAAGCCACCAGAGGGCCCAGGAGCCCAACAGTAGCTCCCCATCACCCCCAAAGCCTTGTCCTGGAATTGGGGCACCTGTGCTGGAACCCTGTGGGACAGACACACCACCAAGGGGCAGTGAGGGGCAGCAGCCCTACAACCCCACAGCGACACCGTGTGGCTATGGACTGAAACTTCAACAGAGGCTGTTTCAGCATCGTGGCTTCTGGACTTCTGGAATTAACCACGGATCCCCGCTCAACCGCTCAACCGGGGGCAATTCAAGGGTGGGGCGTGCCTCCAGAAGGGGGACAGCGGTCTTCTCGCTGATGAGGAAGGCAGGGGTTCAAGCACTTAACAGGGAAAAGAAATGACAGGACCCTTTGCATCCCTTATCTTAAGTCTGAGTTTTCCTGGAGGGAATGCGGGAAGGAGCCCTGTCCGCCCTTTCCCTTCACTAGAAACGGAAGCCACAGATGGGGGTTGCTGGCATGTGGGTGCTCCCATGGGAAGAAGATGCCTGGTCTGGGCTTTAAGCGCACAGACCTCCAGAGAAATGAAATCTAACTGGTCCTCACCACGATTGCCACATTCCTGCACTGCGGGGTGTGCAGCGTGGCTGAGTAGAACTGGGAGCTCAGGGGGCAGGTGTTTGCATGTGTGAGTGCACAGGTGTGCACCCTGTTCAAGTGTGTATAGGTGACCATTGTGTATAGGTGTGCCCACATCTGCGTACACGTGTGTGCGTGGGCATGCTTGATGCACACATATGCACATGTGTGCAATTGTGCATATATGTGCACGTGGGCATTTGCATGTATACATCCACGTGCCCTAGAGAACTGTGCTGAGAAGGGCCCACACTCCTCTCCCCACTCTGTCAGTCTCCACCTTCATGGTCTTCCTCTCTTCCCTGGCTTTGAGGGACAGGAGGGTTTCTGAGGTTAAGTCACCTGTTCTTTGATCCCATGAAGTGTCTCATTGCCACAAGGAAGCAGGGACAGCAGGGCCAGGCCGGGGCAGGCTTTCACCTAGGGCAGGGGCCAGTGGGCCTGAGCCAGCATCGCGCCTGACCCCGGGTCGCCCTTCCCCGGCTGTGGCCTGAGGTCAGAGGGCCTGGACTGAGTTCTTAGTGCCTCCTCCCCGGCTGGCTGTGAAGTTGAAGGCAAACTGCCACACCTCTTTGTCTCCGTTGGGGTCCCTCTTTCTCGGTCCTGGAGAAAAGACGACTGATCCAGAACAGTGGTGGCTGTGATGACTTTGAACTCCAGCAGGTTCGTCAAGGAGACCCTCAACCCTGCGGTTTCCTCTAAGAGATCCTCCCCCTCCCCCAAGGCTTCCTCCCTATGTTCCTCCACCACCCTGCCCGTGGGTATCCAGAGAAGGTTCCCCCCGGCCAGGCCCATGGAAGGTGGGAGTAGCGGTTACCGTTTCTGCTGGAGAGCATCTGCAGGAATCTGGGGCAGGCCACCTCTACTGTCCTCCCCGGGGCAGAGGACGGCCAGCAGCTCACGTTGTCCCACAGCCCCTGGCAGCCTGCAGGGAAGAGCCGCAGCGTTAGGCAGGGAGGGCTGCACCTCTGCTCGCAGCCTATGTTACCACCCTGTCATCCCCACCACCACCATCACACGCCCCGGCCCACCGGTCCATCATAAAGTCCCCATTAGTGCTGGCTCCTAACGATCAGCCGCCCATGGCAGCTGAGGCGGCACATGTGCATTTGTACCCTTGGACTTGGCCATGCCCACGGTATGTGCTCTGTGTTGAAGAAACAGAGTGCAGGGAGCCAAGCGAGAGCTCAGGCATGGCTCTCTGAAGCAGAAGCTGGTGCACCTGTTGGCCTCAGTTGTATTAAACAGCTCAACGGTGGCAGGCGGGGTGTGTGGGGGGGCTCTCTCCTGGCAGCAGTTGAAACTCCCCTGGATAGCTTTAAACACTCGCCTCCCCAGGCCCTGAGTCCAGGGACTCTGGATTGGGGTGGGAGTGCCATGGGGGCAGACACGAGCTCATGTTCAGGCTTTCCCAGCCATGCTCACTTAGTGGAGGGCAAAGCCCAGCACCCCTAAGCTACACACCTCCTGTGGGAGGCGCCACGGGACTTGTTAAACATGGAGTGTTGGCAAGCGCTGGGGCTGGCCTGGGAGTGTGCATTTCTAACAAGGTTCCCACGTGATGTTGAGCCTGCCAGCATACAGACCCCGCTTCTACCTACGGGAGCTGCTATACCACCACCACTACACACTGGCACCACTGTGTCCAGGACGCCGCCTTTAACCTCACAGTGTTTCCACTACGAGGTCCCTGCCGGAAGCTACAACCCAAGCCCCACACAGCAGGGAACTGAGCCCGTCCCTGTGAGTGAAGCTCTGGGTGCTGATCTTTTCCATGTGGCTGCTGGGAAGCTCAGAGCCAGATTCCCAAATCCCGTCTCTGGTCAGGGAGAGGTTTTGCCATAAACCAGAAGGCCTGCTGGGGGCGCTGCTGCAGCACAGCGCAAGTTTCCTGGCTTGTCTGAGCCTTTCGCGTTGGTGGCCTTTCAACGTATTTGAGCGACTTTTCAACAGGACTGACAGCAGTGCAGACGGTTTTTTTGTGCAAAGGCAGAGGAGCGCTTTGTCCAGAGGAGACACAGTCGGTTTCCCTCCTGTCCACTTGTATCCAGCCAGCTGTGCACCTGTTGGCCAATGTGCTTCCCCATGCAGGTACAATACCTTGAGCCTTTCTGTAAATTGACCATCTTCCTTGTGCCCTCACCAAGTAAAGAGAATGTTGGGGTGGATATTTTATGCTTTTTTTTTGTTTTTACTTTTAAAATGGCATTATCTGTTTATTTTATTTGAAAGGCAGGAGATATGCACATACACAGAGAAAGAAAGAGATCTTCCATTCTCTTGTTCACTCCTCCATGCTCACACTAGTCAAGACTGAGCCAGCTCAACCTGGGAGCCCCGAGCTCCACTGGGTCTCCCGCGGGGGCAACAGGGACCCAGCAGCTGAATGCCCACACTCATTCCTTATTTGGCCAGACTTGTGACAACTGCCATCTTTAAGAGCTATGCTTTCTCCTAACCACCCCGGGCCCTCCCAGAGTTGATCCCTTTCACAAAAAACCCAGGCGACCAATTGCCTGCAGTGGCTCCTGGGGACCTATGCAGTGGGGGAGGACACCCCCCACTTTCTTTAAAGAGAGCCTATTTTCTGGCCCTCATGGGGCCAGGCTGAAAGCACAAATGTCCCCTTTGTCTCCTCCCATCCAAGTGAAGCCTCCAGGGCCACCTATCCTGTTGCCAAGGCCTTGACTGTCAGTGGACATCAGAACTACCCAGGAACATCCTACACTCGGATCCCATTCAGGCCCTCAAAGGCAAGACCAGGAATCTGCATCTTAAAAAAAGAGAGAGAAAGAAAGATACATACATTTTTTATTTGAAAAGTGGAGTGATACACACACACTGGGCTTGCATGATGGAGAGAGGATTCTTTCATCCACTGGTTCACTCCTCAAACAGCCACCGTGGCGGGGGCTGGGCCAAGCCGATACCAGGAGTCTGGAACTCTCCATCTGGGTCTCCTATAAGGCACTCCGGCCATCCTCTGCTTTCCCAGGCGCATTAGCAGGGAGCAGGATTGGAAGCTGAGCACCAGGACTCTAGAAATGGACACTTAACTTCCTGTCCCGGAATCTACATCTTAAGAACACCCTAGAAAGGCTGAGGCCCCTCCAGCCCACACAGCCCTCCTGTCTATAGACCAGGGTTCCTCTCCGGACCCTCCACGGCAGGCCCGGCAGAGCTGAAGACCTCAGCACACCCTGTGACTGGTGATCAGATGGTGGGATTAAGGCTGGAGACCCCAGCTGCCACTGCCCCCAGCACAGCCCATTCTGGGCACAGGTTTGCACTGGACTTCCCGTAGGCTTCTCCGGTCCAGGCCCGTGCTGACCAGATCTTGGTTTGGCGTCAATGAGGACAAAGGCCTTATTGGGGTGATTTGTGATGGGGAACTTGGCCGACCTGGACCTGTGATTGGAGGAGAGGGAAGGGACGTGGCTTTCTGGGCTGACCACCTGTGGATGACACAGACCCCAACCCAGCTGGTGGGTGTCCGGAGAGGTGACCAGCAGGCAAGGAAGGCATGGACAGGGCTAGGAGGGATCACAACACAGAAGACCTGGCAGGTGGAGAAGGAAACGGGGGTCTGAGGGTCTAGAGGGCCAGGGTGGGGTCCCAGGAGGCCAAGGCCGCCCTTTGTCCTCTTAACTCATGATTGTTCATATGCTGAGCCTCCCCTCCTTGAAGTAGCAAGGACTTCTGACCTCACTTGGGGACACAGGGATTTGGGGCTGGCTGAGGCTGGCTAGGTCACAGGGCATTGGCAAGGGCTCCAGTGCATGCCCAGCCGGCCAGACACAGGCGGAGGATGCCAACACGTCTGAGAGCATTCCTGGGGCTGGGTCAGGTCAGGCAGCATCCGCACGGCACCGGGTCTGGTGCTGGCAGAGGATGGCAGCGGGGGAGTGGTGGAGGGGAGCAAGCTCTCCTCCCGGTAGTGGGGTCCACTGGCTGGAGGTGGAGCCGAGCCAGGGGCAGCCGGAACTCAAGATAGGCGCCAGGGTCAAGTTAAGGTCTCTGTCCCACGCTGGGGAGGAGGAACCCAGAGGAGCTGCGAGCCCACCCACCTGGGTACGGGTCCCACCCTTGGGGGCCACTGCTGAGCGCTAGGAGGCAGCCCCAGGGTAGTGGAGCAGCAAGGCTGGGAACCGCTCAGGGCGCCTCGGATTGCCAGGAGTGTACCGCGCATGCCCGGCATCCACAGCTCAGCATTGTATTCCAATAGATGCACTTTTTGAAAAAAAAAGAGAATAGAATTCATTTCAAACAATCAGCACTAGGTCTCTACTGATGTATAGCTTCTATGTAGGATGAGGCTGAGGGTTTAACTGGGCTTTGATTGGGAAGGGAGGACCGCGGCCATCCACGCACCTGTGGCCTGTGGTGTGGGGACTCGGCGTGGGGAGCTGGCCACTCCTAGGGTCTTTTTCTTACCCTTGTACAGTTTTGTTTCTTCCCTCTTTCCTTCCTCCTTGGGTTACCAGTTGGTTCAAAGTCTCTGAGGGGAAAGGAAAATTTTCTGTCTCCCAGGCCAGTGGGAGAGGAGATAGGTACTGGGGGTGTCATCCACATGCTTGGAAGCAAACAGGAAAGGAGCATCATTTCCTGGGAAAGTGATGAACAGGCACATAGAAGGTTCCAGAAACAGGCATATGGAAAATTCCAGAAACAGGAACACAGAATGTTCCAGAAGGAAAACCATGATGGCCTTGCTGCTGCTAAGCCAGTCCTGGGGACAGGCCAGAGGATTGGATTGCTCCACTGGAGGGGGGATGGAGTAAACAGACCCAAGGTTGTGACAGAGGACCAAACCACGTACAACCTTGCAGAACCATCATCCCTCTCCCCTCCCCAGCCAAGCACAGATGTGTGCCTCACCGCTTGGGGGCAGCCCAGCTTGGGGCTCATCTCCTAGCACTGCAGAGCCATGCTGTGGCATCTCACACCACAGAAGAACTGGGAGAGCCCCTGAGGACATGGAGGCCAAGGAGTTTGCCAACCCAGACGGAGGGAGACCCAGAAAGTCCAGACTGTTCCATTGGTGCAGGCAGCGAGTGTCTCATTCGTGTTCAAGGACACCCTGGATCTGGGCCAGGCCCCATGCAGACACTCAGGGCAGGGTGCTGGCCCAGAGGGGCAGGTCTGGGCCAGAGGGTAGGGCCAGGGGCCAGGGAAAGGGGAGGAAAGGAGCCTCATGGTCTGTTGTCAGGTGCACAGTGAACCTTAATATTTCTGTGAGGCAGCTGGGTGCTTCCCCACATCCATCCATCTGCCCAGATGTCGCTTTATTTATAAGTGAGCATGGATGGTTTGATAAGACCCTGGGATTATTTCTGGTGTGAAGTGTCAGGCTGCAGGGACAGAGGGCTGAGAGTCAGCCATTCCCACACCCCCGCTCACAATCCAAGACCAAGGCTGGGTTGGAACCCCAGGGCGATGGGTGGTGGGTGCTGCATGTCTCCAGTGCCCACTGCCCCTGCTGGCCTTTCCCCTGGGCCCCCAAGGTCCTTCTAGTCTCTGGACCTGTCAGCGTTCCCTCTTTCCCCTGCACAGCCACCTGCTTCTTGGCTACACCACATCACCCCCTCGGGCCTGCCGGACCCAGGGTCCATCCACGAACATTCAAGTTTTCCTTGGCTTTGACAATGACCTGACTTTCATTGTGCAGGTGAAGAAAGGCTTTGCTTTCCCCACGGTCCCCCTACCCCGGTCTTACCACCCTGGATATGTGGGTGTTTGGCTGGAGCACACTCTGACACCAGGGGCCACCTGGGGCTGGAGGCACTGAAGTCCTGGGTGGCCAAGGCCTTACAAATCACACAGCACGGAGAACAGCTGTAAAGTCCGTTGATCTTTGATCCAAGAAAGAGAAGACAGGTATTGGATAGGAAGAACTGTCTTTGGAGGAGTGAGCTCTCCACTGTA